GAGCTGAGCGGGGGCTGCCAGTGAGTGACACGGGGACGGGGGGCACGGGGGACACGGGGGGCACAGGGGACACGGGGCAGGGCCCCAGGCCCCGGGGGGGTCAGCTCAGCCTGCCCTGTCCTTGGGATGAGGGGACACCCACCCCTGAGCCCTTCCCTGTCACCTTCCCTGTCACCCTTCCCTGTCACCTTCCCTGTCACCCTTCCCAGCCACTCTTCCCTGTCACCCCTCTGTGCCACCTTCCCTGTGTCCCTTCCTTGTGTCCATTCCCTCTGTCCCTTCCCTGTCACCCTTCCCAGCCGCCCTTCCCTGTCACCTTCCCTGTCACCTCCCCTGTCACCCTTCCCTGTGTCCCTTCCCTGTCCCCTTCCCTGTCACCCTTCCCTGTCACCCTTCCCTCTGACCCTTCCCTGTCACCCTCCCAGCCACCCTTCACTGTGTCCCTTCTCTGTCACCCTTCCCTGTCTCCCTTCCCTGTGTCCCTTCCCTGTCACCCTTCCCAGCCACCCCTCCCTGTGTCCCTTCCCTGTCACACTTCCCAGTCACCCTTCCCTGTCACCCTTCCCTCAGCCCTTCCCTGTCACCTTTCCTCTCACCTTTCCCTGTGTCCCTCCCCTGTCACCCTTCCCTGTGTCCCTTCCCTGTCTTCCTTCCCTGTGACCCTTCCCTGTCACCCTCCCTGTCACCTTCCCTGTGTCCCTTCCTTGTTTCCTTTCCCTGTGTCCCTTCCCTGTCACCCTTCCCTGTCACCCTTCCCTGTCACCCTTCCCTGTCACCTTCCCTGTCACCCTTCCCTGTGTCCCTTCCCTGTCACCCTTCCCTGCCACCCTTCCCTGTCACCCTTCCCTGTCACCCTTCCCTGTCACCCTTCCATGTCACCCTTCCATGTCACCCTTCCCTGTGTCTCTTCCCTGTCACCTTCCCTGTCACCCTTCCCAACCACTCTTCCCTGTCACCCTTCCCTGTCACCTTCCCTGTGACCCTTCCCTGTGTTCCTTCCCTGTCACCTTCCCTGTGACCCTTCCCTGTGTTCCTTCCCTGTGACCCTTCCCTGTGACCCTTCCCTGTGTTCCTTCCCTGTCACCTTCCCTGTGACCCTTCCCTGTGTTCCTTCCCTGTGTTCCTTCCCTGTCACCTTCCCTGTGTCCCTTCCCTGTCCCCTTTCCCAGCCACCCTTCCCTGTCCCCTTCCCTGTCACCCTTCCCTGTCCCCTTCCCTGTCCCCTCGCCCCCGGTCGTGCTGCAGCTCTGGGAGGGGACCGGGGACATTTCCGTCCCTCCCGGGGAAGGGGCTTCCCGTGGGAATCCCATCCCGGTTTTTCCCCCTCCAGGCGCTTCGTGGCTTTGGCTGACCGGGTGCAGCCGCACTCGTCCCGCACCCGCCTGGACAGGGAGAGGCTCCGCTCCTGCCTCCGGGAGCT